AAATCTCATTTAAAATTTCTAAATGTCAAATAAAAACTAATTTTTATCTTTTAATGTAAATTAATTATAAAAATATATTTTTATTATATATTAATCTATATTTTACAAACACATTAGATAATTTTTTAAATAAAATAATATGAATGCTAATGACATGACATTTGAGGAGATTATTGTGCGTGCAATGAGGCATTGTGGTTATTCCAATTAATATGGTAGGTCGGGTTTTATTACTAGCCATTGTGGTCCATAGGCATTTCATTTCCACGTGCTTTTGTTGTGGGATTCTTTTTCTTTTTTTCAGAGAACTTAAGAATACCTGTATTTGTCGGGAAAAGGGGGGAAAAAAAGAGTTAAGAGTGCATGTAATGTTCAAGGGTAAAAATCATAAATGTTGTAGGGTAAGGTAAAAGGGCCAAAATTCTCAAAACATTGTAATTTATAATACAATCCATGGGTTTTTGCCGTAGTATTTGAAGCACCTGGAATTGTAATTTGTCGGCAAGGCAAACTTGAAATTAAAAGCGAATATGAATAAGGATATGTTTGTTGGTACTCATTCTTTAACCTGTTTAAGTACCTTTTTCTCACAAAGTTTAAAATAGCATTGGAAGAAAAAATTACCTTTTAATAGTTAAACTACTTCTAAGTAAATTTCAAAAATCAAGTTCATAATTAAGCACAATCCATGATACTTTTTAAAAACTGTTTTATTCACACTTTTTTTTTTATTTTTTTATCAGAAATGGAGAAATTATATTAATTAAAAAAGAAGTACAGAAAAACTCCATTACAAGGCAAATACCCTAAAGATAAAATCAAAAGCATAACCCACAACACTAGTACTAAATTTAAACTATGCCCATGACAAATATAGACAATTAAGTAAAGATAGCCATCTGCAACTTGAGATTGCTATTGCAATCGCTGTATGCTACCAAGGTAGAAAGGAAAGTCACTTTGAGCATCAGAAGTTACTGGACATCCTCACCTATTTAACCAGTTTCGTGAGGAGAGTAAGGATTTTGACAACAAACAGTCCCAACCTGCATGTTGCCTCCCAATCTATTTCTAAGAATTAACCAACAAAAAAAGGGGCAAAGAACCCCCTGTACAAGCACAGTGCTGCCCAGCCTTGAATGCAATGCCTCACCAATTTTGCCAATCCTCTGTACAAGCACAAGCTTCCCAATCGCCACTGAATACCCCCAATCAAGTTTCCAACTTTGCTAAACCTTTGCAATCCCATACTGTCAAGACCCATTAAGGGAACTAGAGCCCCTTTGCCAGCTTGAACACCATTCTTCCTGTGCCACCCATAACCGGCGTCACCCACAACATCCTTTTCCCTTCGGAGTCGGTAGCTAGATCAAAAATTGGAGTGAACTAACCTTGCCGAATTTGATCCCCGCCAAAATCCCATCCCGGGAGATGCCCTACATGATAAATAGGAGAAAAACCAACCATAAGCAGGATCAATTCTCTCCTTATGCCAGCCAAAGTCTTTGGAAAACACCCCCAGATCTAGATCTGAATAGGTCGTTGCCTTATGGTCCCTTGGGCTGAAGTTTCCAAAGCAAGGCGGGCGATGAAGGTGGAGAAGAGAGCAAGAAGAGGAAGGAGAGGGTAAGAGGAAAGCAGAAAGGGAGGAGCTCCGCTACCAGAGGGGGACCCGAAGGAGGAACTTGCCGCCTCTGCCCCAACCCTAGGTAGAGCACAGGAGGAGAAACAAAAAACAATCAAATTGTTTTATTCACACTTTAAAGGTTTACTTATGATAAATTTTTAAATTTACATGAGAAACAGAATATATATGAGTAACAAAAAATAAGGATTTTTTCATTTATATTTTAGAAGTGCATTTAGTTTATTCTTTATATCTTAAAAAAATAATAACTGATATTAATTATATTAATTATATTAATTAAAAACATCTATAAGACATGGTGTGAAAATTAATATTAGTTTTTTTTTATGAAAATATTATTTTTTATATAAATTAATATTTAAAAGATAACTACAAATACGCCATTAATCTGTAAAGAAACCCCAAAAATAAACTTTTCGAAACATGCTCTAAATTCTCCTTCACATTCATGATTTGGAAAGAAGGTTCATAAGGGGATATAAAAATTCACTACAAAAGAACATACATTTAGTTTCTAAATTATTGGTTACTAAATCCTTATTTTTTGTTATAAGCTAGAATTAGTAATGAAATTTAAACGGTTAGTAAAAACCCTTGTCACTAATACTTTTAGTGACAAATTTGACATCTATAACAGAAAAGAATTTTATAGTAATAGAAAAAATTGACATTATTAAAAGTTATTTGTAACAATTTTATTCATCACATATATTACAACTAAGTGATAAAAAATACATAAAAAATCCAATAGGATATTTGTGATGAAATATTTAATCATTAATTATTTAAATTGATATTAAACTAAAAAGGGTATTTTTATCATTACAACATACATTTGTAACGAAAAAGCTCATCACTAACGCAATATCTATGTCACTAATTATTCAAATTAATATTAAACCAAGAGGGTATTAGTGTAATTAAACATATATCTTTGACCAAAAAATTTGTCAAAAAAAATGTGTATGACAACTAATTTTAATACCAAACTTAATTTATAGCTAATATCTAAAAAAATAAAATTTTGATAATAAATAAGTTTAAATACAATAGTAGTTTCCAATAAAAAAAAATAAAATAGTACTTTGGTTTTATAAATATTAAATTAAAATAATCAATTGATAATTATTAATTTGAAATATATCCTTTAATTGAATTACATAATTAACTAATATAAAAAGATAACATACAAACAAAAAAAATTATAAATTGGCCAAAAGTTCCACATCATTTTTATCTTTGATGTGGTTTACTCAAATATTACCAATAATCACATATTATTTATTTGCAAGGACTTTTTGTCTATTCTGAATTCATCATCTTCCACCAAAATTACCTTCCTAACTAACTCATGCAGATGCAATCATGCACAAGTGTCACCTTGTTCCCCACTATGTCTTGTAGGTTGAAATCTACAATGTTCAAAAGGATGCCATGTGCTCGTGACAAATAAAGAAGTGCTGATCCCCTAGATTAGAGTTAAGAGTGTAACTCTTCTCCTTTACCCAAAAAATGTCTCAACCTAAGAAATATGCCGAAACACTTGAACAAAGAAAAATAAGACAAATAAGTGCACTAATAAAGAGAACAATTCAGCTCAACCTCACTTAGACAATTTAACAAACACATGGTGGTGGACCTGACAAAGTGCACTTAAAGCCTTCCAACCTCTATTTTATCAGCTCCACAAATTTAAAAAAGGCGTACACTACTTTTGAAATCTAACCCGGGAAAGGCCTTAGAAATAAAATAGATGATAAATCAAAGCATATTGTACGAAAATTGTAATAAGACAATTGAAAGAGAAAGGTAAAAACTATTGACAACTAGGCATAATATATAAATTAAATAAGACTAAGCTAGACATAATAAAAATATGAATCTAAAGTAAATATTTCACATTAGTTACCTTTAGAATTTGTTTAAAATTTGTAATTATCTAATAACAAAATGATAAATCGAATATACCATAAAAAAGTAAATTTAAATTATAAATGTGTATTATGTGGATAAATTTTGTTGAATTTAATTATTCTAATATATAAAATTGACATTATCTGTTTTTTTAGTCAAAATAAATTTAAATTCTACATATTCTTCAACCAGAAAACCCCCACTCCATTAAGAAATGATTTACCTATATTATCTCTATGATGATTTTTAAGTGATGAAATACGTTTTAGTGATGAATTTTTTTGTTGTAGTTGAATACATAAGTATCTATGACTAATATTTATAATTTGTTATAATTGTGATGAATTGTAATAACAAATTTTTTCATTACAAGCATATATTCTCTTTATGACTGTGTGACAATGATGAAATATCATTTTAGAATGAATTTTTTTTATCATCATTGAACATGTGCATATTTGTAATTAATTTTTAAAATTTATCACAATTGTAACGAGTAATAATGACAATTTCAGAATTCGTCACAAAATTTTGTCACTAAAACCCCTTTCTCTTGTAGTGTTTGTCATTTTTTTGTGAAAAATGATTAGTATAACATTCGATTTAATATATTTTTTGATATTTGTCTAGTTCAATTATTAAAATATAATTAAGTATAATCAATTCAGCCAATATTTACATGTTTTATGCATGATTGCACTTTTAATTTCATTTACTTTTAATTTTGTTTACTTTCAATTTTATATTAAAAAATAATGACTTTTTAATAAGTGTCTTATGCAATGTGTTGAATTAAAAAGTTTACTAACCAATTTCCTTTTTTGTTTAAAATTATTAACTTTTCAAATTTCTAAATCATATGGTAAGCTTTCCCTTTTCTCTATTTTAAGAATATGTACTTTTTTTTGTTTATTTAAGAATACAAACTTTATTATATTTAGATTAAAATTACCATTTGCCATATCATCATCACCATCTAATAAATCCTTAAATTAAAAAAAAAATAACCCAATTAAAAAAAAATAAAAATTTACTATTTAATTTAAAATTTTTAAATATTCATTAAATAAAAAAGGGGACAAAATTCTTTTTTTTTTTTTTTAACATTTTTATCATGGGGTCGACTCAAACCATTACTCTTGGGGTGGGGGATATAAACCTTACAAATGTGATTAGAGCCACTTGGGGCCAGGTTCAACAAAATTCATTTCTTTATCTACATCTTTTTGTGTGTTTTTAATGTCTTCAATTGTTCAGTTGCATGGGAAATAGCAATACTGTCCCCTTTATTTACTATGTATGTACAGCTGGGCATGTCTATATTATATTGTCATAAAGATGTTATAACGTCATAAAAATAGACAATTTTTTATTTTAAAATACTTATCATTTATTTTTTTAAAAATTAAAAAATAAAAAATAATTTATATGTTTACTATATTATTATTAAAAATAATAAAAATAACAAAAAAATTTTGTTATAAGATAATTAATTAAAATAAATATCAACAATGAAAAGATAGTAATTAATTTAAGATAATTTTTTTTAAATGATAATTATTATGTAACCAATATTTCTTTAAATTAAATGAGTCATGTACCCATCAAAATCATAATATGTTATCTAACTACTTATATTATTTTTCTTTAAAGAAGCCTGGAGTCCATAAATATTGAACCCTCATAAATTTCCTATATTGTTATCCACATATACCTGGTCCCTGGAGGATGGCCATAAAAATTACTAGATTATGGAGTGCCAACTACCGATTGAAATAGAATCGGCCTTCCGGTCAATGGTTTGTCCCAAGTTATAATTATTTGGATGTTACCAGTTAAGAGTGTAACTCTCATCAACGCCTTGCAAACAAATATTTTCATCCTCAAATTCCTACATGTTAAAAAAAGAAAAAAAAACAACTACCGATTGAAGTGGAAAAATTCACTTTACTCTCAGGTATTAAATGGCATTGGACGTGAGGTTCAAGTTCCCCAACCGCTTGAAATAAATTTATTTTTCCTCTCGAAAATGCGCAAGTTCTACATTTTTAAAGAATTAAAAACAAGAGTGGTTACCAAAATTTCAAATTTGAAAGTATGGTGGGTTTAAATTCCTATCATATTAGGCAATCATAATGTCAAGTGTGTTATAATAGTGTAATTAATGTACAAGGAACATAAATAACTGGGTCCATGTTTATTTATTTTAGTCACCCTTTTTTATTTGTTTCTATCATTCAAATACTTTGAACTTCAGAGAATTTATCTATTGTAGCATATGAGAATTGTAGACTACTAGAGAGTGCCATTGTAATCACTTTACCCACTTATCAATACAATATTGATAATTTTCTCAAAAAAATAAAATAAAATAAAAACAAGCATGGATTAGGACATCTCCAATGGGAGACTCTTTAAGAAACTTTCCACCTAGTTTTGAGATTTATAAGAGACTCCACTAGAATTGCACTTATATTATTACTCTCTCCATTTTAAAATATAAATCTTT